CACCGCCCCCACCCCTGCCCTGTTCCTCGCGGGCCCCACCGGGAAACATTCCACGCACCCAGGACCCTCGGGGGCCGCGGGTCCCTCGCCCGCCGGCCCCGCTCCCGCGCCGTCGCCCAGCAGTGCGGCCAGCAGTGCGGCGGCTGGACTCGCCCGATTGCTGTCGCCGGCCAGAGAGCGGCCCGAGCGAGGAGTGACAGTGGACAGTCGGACAGCAGCGCACGGTGCGCAGAGCGCAGCAGAGTTAGTGAATAGTGTGAGCTCGGACGCGTGCGACCCAACTGTGAGAGACATTCCAGGGGCGGCGCGGAGCAGAAGCAGCGGCGGCAGCGGGCACCTCGCCGCGGTCCCGATGGTGCCCTGCCTCACCGAGTCGACCAGCAGGACTGAGCCGCGGGGACCTCCGGAGGGCCCCGGCAGGCCTTTACCCAGGCCCGACAGGCATCGGCCCGCCTGACCCGCCTACTTCTTTGCACTGTGATACGCCATGCCTTGTGGCCAGGCCATAGGCGCGCCTACGCGGCCCGCGAGTGTTGGGGCGAGGCGAGGTAGTGCTGGGCTAGGCGAGGCGGGTGCGCTTCTACAGCCAGTCATTGCTCAAAGGAAAAGGAAGGAGACGGAGTCAGAGGCACCTCGTCGGGGAGTCCAACCACTTTCAAGCCGTCCACGGTGTGTGCATTCTGTGTGTTTTTAATAGCTAGAGTATTAAATAACCGTTCTCGAGAGGAAAACAGTGCTTACCCTCGTGTCTTCTTGGACCAAAAGGCCTGGTCAGAGGACCACAAATTTTGAAATTTTGATCCATAGTGGTTAGATTCCCTGAGCAGAGCAGGTGACAGAGATTGGCCATGGCATTGGAAAGGGTAGCAAGAGAATATGAGATAGGGCTAGGAATATAATTTATGTCTCAGCAATGCAAAGCGACTGCCATTTCTCTAATTTATGATCACATTCTTTGTTGTGCAGAGCTTGATAGTCAACACTAAGGAATACAGTGGTCTTAGTTTTCTTTTTGAGAAACAGCCTTTTGGATTGGGCAAGAAAGATGCAATGGTATGAAATTTAATTGGTGTGCATGTATATGGATGTTATGGTTAAAGTTTGTGCAGGCGCACAAACACATCTTTTGAAAAGAAACATTAAAATTGAAAGAAAGGTTATTTCATCAATCATGAAATCTCAAGTTTTATGTCAGTTGTTCATACTGAAACCTGAACTTATGTTTATTTAAGTTACCTACTGAAAAATAACTTAACCATTATTTTAATGAATTTTGTATCACTGTACTCATGTTTTAGTCACCCCTTTCATGCAAACATATATGGTGGTACAGAATGCTGGTGCAATATTTTTTCTTTTGTTTAGATAGAAGTAAGACCGTTACAAGATTCATGACCAAGCAAAAGTGCAGAACCCTTCCTGTTTTTGTTTGTTAATTATTTTTTCAATGTCAGTGAAATTTGACCATCAATGTCACATTTTCTCTGCTTTGGGAAGTCGTTACCTGAGCAATAGTTTCATTGTTAAGATTTTTTTCTTCAAATTTTAAGCTTTGTCAAAATTTGTATAAACTTTGAGCTACTGTCATATTTTCGTATATTTCAAATTCATCAATATACTACAAATTGAGAGACTGTGTGTGCACATATGTTTGACAGAAGTGGCTGAATGCATATAATGATGTGATAATATGTTAGTTGACGGATTTGTCCTGTCCAGCATCTGAGATGGCTGATAACTTGATCTTTGAAAAGTGCAAGGTTTGGGATGTACCGGATATCTTGAGCTTTATAACATTTTGGCTCACAAAACTGAATTAATCAAACCCGATTTACAGCTGTTTGACAGAGGGATTGCACAGTAGTCCTCGGTAGGTTAGCCTATTTGTCATTGTTTAAACTTGGTGCTAAATTCATTGTTTGAAGTTTCCTGATTGTAATTTTAGGAAGAGGGAATGAAGCTACAAATAGTTATTTTCCACATTTTCCTGTTGTTCTTGGTACATCCCTTCTTATGCACTCCACAGTACCAGTCCAGTACCATGCAATTGATGAAGATAAGCTCAATTGTTGACCAGTTTCAATTCAACTACATGCTGGCATGTTCTGAATTGACAGTCAAAATTACTTGATCAAAACCAATTACATGCAGTATTAGAACTCTATGAAGCTACCACAGTTTCAATCCAATCTCTTGGTTTCTCAATTGTTTCAGTGAACCAGTGGTACTTCTTTGTTGTTAAAATGCATTTGCACCTTTATTTCCTCGTACTGTATTTTTAAATTGTTGGCTCGCGTATGTGTGTATTTGTTTGCTCTTGCTAAAACTTATTTAAGTAAGACTGTTGGTATCAAATTTCAAAGACATATTTAATGTGCTAATGGCACATTGAGTATTCTTCATTAATTGTACTGGACAAGTGCTGTTGCACAATGTGATTTGACTAAAATTAAGTAGGCATGTTTTTCATTTTCAGTCTCTCTGATCTGCCGCCAACTGAAGTGTAGATGGTAACTTGATATTTTTACTTGCACTTCTCAAATATCTTTTGCCCCCCCTTTATCTGGGTTTGATATAACTACAGTCCTTATACATTTTCATTGTAATTTCAGGCAAATCACTTTGTTGCTCTAGACTGAATTTAATTCCATTCTTTTTTGCAATGTTAGACTCAGGTAACATTAAATATGTTTTGAAGAGCAAGGGTGAAGCTGGAAGTATTGCTGTTTTCACTCACTTTCAAAGTGTTTCAACAAGGGAAAGTAGGACAAATTTGATCTCTGAAATGAATTTGAGTATTTGACAGGGAAGTATGAGAACCAGTGAAATTTGGTCGTCATGCCGTTTTCTTACCTAAGATTTTGAAAAGAGATTGCTCTGTTGCCATTTATTTTTTTCCCCTGCATCTGATCAAGAAAATGTGTGTGAATCTTGAAGCAACTCATTTATTCAGATATACTTTCTCTTGTTTACATTCATTGGTTTTAAGTATTTCCTGTGTCAGCCTTTAACATAATTGTGTCTATATAAATACATAGATATTTATATATTGATTGTTTTAATATTAAGTAAGATAAACCTATGTATGTCTATTGTGTTCATTTGAAAAAGAGATAATACATAATAAGTCAAGTTATTTACAATTGTATGCTTGAGCAAGAGAGCATGTTTGTGATAGGTAATGTAAAGAGAAATGAGTACATTTGTGTTATATATCCTGGTGCCAGAGCAGGGAGCTTTCAGCCATCGGAAGTGGCATTAAACTTTTTTCCTTTTTTCAATTTGAAGAGTTCTAATACGTCAAAAATACATTTCTTTCTGAGGAAGCAAACTATTTATTCAGTTTTAACATGGTTCTACATATAATTACTTTAGTTTGTTTTTTATTTATTATGGAACAGGTAGCAAATTTTACACCTCAAAACTACAACCCTCTGTATTCTAATGAAGTTTGCTTCTAGTCTTCAAGTATATACTACCACTTTTTTTTCCGGTTTATTAAAGAACCCTTCTTTTCCACACAATTTTGAAAGCAAAGAGCCAGTTGTTCATGTATATTTGACATTGCAGGACTCGAACGATTGTTGTTTGTATCTTGTGATACTAGAAGTGCTTATGTGCCCTCGAGTCTCCCAAGCTCTCTATGCTAAGGCTTCCAATTTTTCAAAATGCCATGCATGTATTTAACTCTGCTCCTTCACATTTATTTTTATTTGTCTCTTTGGAACCTTCTCTGTCCTCTGCCTTTTGCCTTTGCCAGTTTAGTTGGGTTCTAAAATTCACAAAGACCATCTGCTTCCTCTGGTAGTTAATTATTTGCATTTTATGGAAAAATCAAATGTACTTTTTGTGTCTCACAGGCATATAAAATTACAGTAAGCACTGTTTACTAATAATCACAGACTGATGAAATCTAAGCAATATAATGTCTACTTTACGTTACGCATTGATTTTGGATTTATTTCTTCTTTAATGTGCAAGATGTCCTGCTTTGCAAGAGTTTAGCAATGAGCCAATGACAAAGATGAAATTTGATCTGCCCCTTTTGATTCTTTTTTGGATCTTATTTTGTATCACATTTCATGAGAGTGTAGCCTGCTGTGAGCTTAGTGTTAGTGTTTTCAGTAGGTTGTTTGTTCTTGAACAAAATAAATGCACTGCATTTTCATACTGTGATATACAATAACACATCACACAATTAGTGTGGTTCATTTTGTAAAACCAGCAAACTAAGGAAGGTCAAGTGCTGTTGTCTGCAGGTAAAAAATAATCAGGAGTTAAAATAATGAGGAAGTCTTAGCACTTCCTTACTGTTTGAGTATTAGCAATTTTCTATTTATCCAAGTGGTACCCTAGTTTGTAAGGAGCACTTGTCAGACTGCTGCTTAAGTAAATTAAATAGATATCAATTTCTAAATATGGTCTGTATGTCTGTCGCAACAAACCAATGTTGTGACCCATTCAAAAAGAAAGTGCATGTTAAACAAACTACTACTCTTTTTTTTTTAATTTACCTATGAAGCATACAATGCTTTCCATTACTCTTACTTTCATAAGTATGTCACATATCAGAATTTTCGCATGGCTACCATTATTTGTTTTGATTGTATTTCTGTCAAAGACCTCTGTAAGGTGCATTCAACAGTACTTCTAGCGCACAGCATCTTTGTCTTCCCATAAAGAGCCAGAGCACACATTGGGTAGTGTACGTGCTTGCCAAAGAAATTTGATTATAAAGTAAAGTTACCACCATGAGATCTAATAAAATGATGTGGTTGTTTTCTTCTTGCTAAGACAATCTGTATTCTGACGGTTAAAAGATGAAAACACTAACAGTATTTAAGTCTTGACATAATGTGGTAGAAAAATTGCCCAGCCCAGCATTACTGTAGATACAGTGCAATCACTCTTTTCATGTGTACCCAGTTACCAGTCTCTCTTGCAAGTATGGGCTCTGATCTAAATAAATTAAAGTGAAAGATGTGCAATTCTGTCCTATTCTACTGTAATTTGTGTTTTGAATTCTTAAATTTTACTGTTATGGTTGATGGTAATAAGTGACAGTATTCAACTTGTCAATTCTGTAACTGAAATAAACATGCATAGTAAATTGAACTATGACTTCCATTTTCATACATTTCCCTGACCGTACACCCAATATGTATTAAGAGTATGCCGACTCTCCGACAACGTTAGTTTAATTATTTTACGGCCTGTTGCTATTTTAATAACTGCAGGGGCCCCTATTACAACTAGACTAAATGTAGCAATGGTAACAGCACCAATGACACGTTTTCGGCCAAAATTGAGCCTGTGGCCCCCACACAGTAAACAGAAGCCTGGCCTAGCCCATCTCGCCCCTAAGCACAGGCAAGGGGGCGCTGTGGGACCCACGAGCCCCACAGACGGCTCGGTCACGGATTGCACGGAAAAAAAAGGTTGGTTGGGGTAACCGGCATATTTGCCGGTTGGCGGCTGCTAGTTGGGGCCACCATCGGAATTAGTTGGGTGAACTGATTTTGGGATGTTGGTACCCAGGCGACTTGTTTGCCACAACTATTTCAGATTGTCACTCGAGATGGTTGTTGCAACCAAGCCATCGGTTGCACTTCGGGATCCGGGGCGCCTCGGCTAGCCCCCCTCCACTCCCCCACCTGCCCCACTCC